TGGTTAGGACACAATGCTCGTGGGATCAGACTTTAAAAAAAAAAAAACTGGATATGGAGTCTGGATCTGCATTTTCTCCTGCCGGCCGATCCGATCCAGATATCGGATCGGGACCAGCCTATTATTTGCACTTACTACTGTTCACTGATGCCATTTCCGTTTGTTATTTATCATTTTATCCTATTTTGTGTTTATCCCTGAATAAACAGGTCAGTGTCTCTTTACTGACCAGTGTTTATTATTTAAACTCCCTTAATTCAGATGGCTAGTTGTTATCAGAGTAAATCCCTGTTCAACATGAGTCTGATACCTAAGTAAGAAGCTAAATAACTTTAAACTTTAGTACATGCTCTGATAGGCCGGGATCGGATGGGAAGTGAAAACCGCTGGATCTACTAGGCTTCTCCCAGTCCGATATTTGAATCAGATCGGCCGCTGATATTTGCAAAAATCTGCATATCGGCCAGCAGGAGAAAATGCAGATCCAGACTCCAGATCCAGTTTTTGTTTAAAGTCCGATCCCACACGAGCATTAGCATTAGCATCTGTAACCCACAGGTCTGTGTCCTAACCATTAGGTTGTTATCAGAGTAAATCCCTGTTCAACATGAGTCTGACAACTAAGTAAGTAGGTAAATAACTTTAGACTTTAACACATGCTCTGATAGGAATGGGCTGGTGTGGGTGTAGGAAGTGCAGAAAGTTGGTCCCTAACCGGGTTTATTGATGGTCCCCAGAGTGCCTGGAGGAGCTGGGCTGTCTGATCGAGGGCTACGGGATGAACGTGTGCCAGCCCACTCCGGCCAAGTCCCTGAAGGAGATCGCCGTGCACATCGGGGACCGAGACACTTCGGTCCGCAACGCCGCCCTCAACACGGTGGTGGCCGTCTACAACGTGTGCGGGGACCAGGTCTACAAGCTGATCGGAAACGTAGGCGGGGGGGGAGCCGTCGGGGTCTAGAGATAAACTGTTTATTTATTTATTTCTGTAGAGGAGAAGGCCCTGGAGATGAACCGTCTCATTGTCAAAGGGGTCCTCAATAAGAATGGTCAGATAGAGTAGAGCACACAAAAGAATAAATAAAATGATAAAATAAGTGATAGATACTTCAAATAAAACACAACCATACACACATACACACTCACTCCTTCACACTTAACTGTTAACTAAGAATAAAAAACTTCCAAAATAATGCAGATAAAGCACATGCACAGATAGATCCATTTAAAATCTAAATATTTACAGATAAATCCATTTAGAATAACAACATTTATAGAGAAATCCATTTAAAATAGGAATATTTATAGATTAATCCATTTAAAATAAAAATATTTACAGATAAATCCATTTGCAACCAAAACATGCACAGATAAATCTATTTAAAATAACAATATTTACAGATAAATACATTTAAAATAAAAAATATTTACAGATAAATTCCATTTAACCCTTTAAAGCCTGATCCAAGAATAAAACAAAACAGAAAATTAATTTTTTTTTTGTTTTAAGTCTATATTTGGCCTTTTAACAAAATGTGTAAAAAGAAAAAACAGAAATACATTTTTAATATTAATAATTTATTACTATGCGATAAGTCAAGATTATTTTTGTGTAGTCTTCTGCCCCCTGTTATCAGGTGTATCTGATTGTGTAAATTAGGATTTTGAGCAAAGTTAAATGAAGCAAAAGGTGTCTACCTCTACGTGCCACTCTACTCTTCTAAACATATACTCAAACAAAAACTCCTGCTAGCCATTAAGACCAAGAATTTTGGTTTTGTGTAGAGGTTCAACAACAACAAAAAAAACTAAAGTAAAAAAAAAATGGGAAAAAAGTTTACTGTTGTGTAATATTTACCTAGCTCCATTTTTGTAGGTTTAATTTTTAAAAGAGGTGTCAGATATCAATCAAATACGATACATTTGGCATTACAGGGTTAAAATCAAAACACGCACACATAAATTAAACAATAAAAACCATCCAAACGCTCCCCTCTCTGCCTGGTTCCCAGCTTTCGGAGAAGGACATGAGCATGTTGGAGGAAAGGATCAAACGCTCGGCCAAAAAGCTGCCGGCGGCCCCGGCCAAACCGGCCGCGGCCGAACGGCCCCAGAGGGAGCACCCCCCCAACCCCAACGCCACCTTCCTCCGCAAGCCCGCGCAGGAGGACCCCAACAAGCTCAAGTAGGTCCAGAGCATGATTAATCCCCTCCACCATAACACATGTCCTCTCAGGTCTGTGTCTATTTCAGTGTTTTTCAACCTTTTTTGAGCCGAGGTACAGTTCAGTTTTCATAGAAAGAATCACGAGGCACACCACCAACCAAAAATGTCAAACAAATCTGTAGCCGCCTATAGTAACACTATAGTTATCCTTATTTTATTCTTATCTTATCTTAAGTGTCTTGAATAGGAATCAAATAAACACAAAAATGGATTTTTATCGTATTTTATATTTCTTCTTTCAAATTGTCCTTAACATGTCCACTCCAATATGCAAAATTAAATACAAAATGTAGTCATAAGGAATTATTACATGATTACGCCACCAGTCACTAGAACAGCACACACACTCAGAAATGGCTTATTATTTGCAGATAATTAATTCCTTATCAAAACATTTTTTTAGACCAATTAGGTGAAATAGGATGATTTTCTACGGCACACCTGACCATCACTAACGGCACACTAGTGTACCGAGGCACGGTGGTTGAAAAACACTGGTCTACAGCACGAGATAATCTCTGTTTTCTAGTTCCTCCTTATTAATGGACGGTGTAGCATAAGGTTTCCTTCATTTTTGGATGCTGGAACAGAGCTCATTTCCAGGAAGTGAAGCCTCATTCTGGAGGAAAAGCAGCACAACTCTGAGTTCTCTGGACTCTAGTTTGGATCAGAGGATCATATGTTGGAGTTTTATCCAGAAAAAGCTCATTAAATGAGTCGGGACTCATCAGAAACAGGAGCTTAAAGCTTTAAACTGGAGCGGATTGTGTACTTTGTGTTTTAAACAATGCCAACGACTTCAAACCTGACTTCAAACCTGTTTCAGGGTTCAGTGGAGAAGCTTTCTGGCTTTTTTTCCTGGACTTTCAGTGACGTTTGGGAGAAAATTAGAGCAGATTTTGGAGAAAAAAGGCAGTAAATCTGAGTTCTCTGGACTCTGGTTTGGATCAGAGGCTCAGATGTTGATGGTTTATCCAGAAAAAGCTCATTAAATGGAGCCGTTTGTGTCCTTTTAGGCAGTTAGATGGAAGAAAAGCAGAGTCAGGACTCATCAGAAACAGGATCTTAAAACTTTAAACTGGAGCTGAACGTCTGTTTGGGGGTTAAACGACTTCAGAAGAGACTGAAAACCTGTTTCAGGGTTCAGAGGAGAAGCTTTCTGGCTTTTTTTCTGGACTTTCAGTGACGTTTGGGAGAAAATTAGAGCAGATTTTGGAGAAAAAAGGCAGAAAATCTGAGTTCTCTGGACTCTAGTTTGGATCAGAGTTTCAGATGTTGATGGTTTCTGTCAGTTTAAACAGAGCAGGAAGCATCCGGCTGGTTTTCAGCCCCGAACAGTAAGAAAAACTCAGTCAGGACTCAGTAGCTTTAGTTAAACTGACCCACAGGAAACAGACGCTCATTGAGAATGAATAAATCAGTGGTTCTGCTACATGAATTAACAAAAAAAAACCTGTCGATTTGAAGGGAAACTCTACTTAACTAAAGGTTTTGTGACGTAAACATTGGGGTTAAAATGAGAGGAAGGAAAACAGGAGGATCCAATAGATACAAGATGGATTTTCTTCAGGTTTCTGGATCTAAATTCATCCTAAATGTTGTGATCTTCATGTGAAAGTGGGCAGAGGAAGGTGGCCCCTCCTCTTCTGTGTGTGAGATCATCCCTTTGGTTGTGTGCTCTCGCTGCCCCCCCCCCCGGCTCTTTTGCATGTGGTTCTGCTCTCAGAGGCTTTTCTCAGCCTGTGAAACCAAACCCGGCCGTGGTTCTGTTTCCTAACCCTTCCTCTTTCTTCCTGAGTGACCTGCTCCTCTCTCTGCTCTGCTCTGCCTGCCTTCCTTTTCCGGAGCAGAATAATGTATCGCACGTATAGGATGTGAGTACAACTCCCCCCATCCCCCCTTTTTCTGTGTCCTCTGAGTCCTCTAACCCGATCACTCATGACTCCGGAGAACTGACGTTTGCTCCAGACTGATGTTCCAGATGCTGCTTTTAAAGCTCCATCATCCCCCATAACCCCCCCGAGAGTCACAGTAACTCATTGACTGCCAGAGTTTTTTGAGCATTTTGACTCATTTTTCAAGAGACCACAGAATAGTTTGTGCTATGACTATGTAAACACCGAACACACCAAAAGAAAGAGTAGACTCTCTTCTTTCATCAGGAAAAAAAAAATTGTTTCTACCTTATTCCGTTCTTCATGGACTTGCGTCTCACCGGCGACATGTTCTCTCATAGAACCGTTCCCTTTTTCTTATTTGCCTACAGTCTATGCTCATCTCCCATCAAAAGTGGCACTGCCCCCTAGAGGGTCAATTTGTTACTACATACTCTGTCTAGAAGCCGATATTTACGGACAAGCTTTAGCAGATCGTCCCCCAGCCACTCTCGTTAAAAACATAAAAGACGTCTATAGACGTCTTTGGCAGCCAATGAGTTAACTGTCCGCTGGCCCGGTTTAATTGGATGGGATGGTTCAGGTAGTTCCAACCTCTCTGGATCTGGTTCTGATTGGCAGTCAGAGACAGACAGACCCCCTTTTTGGAGGGTTTTCAGGCGTGTCCGAGTCAGAATAACTAGGGTTGTGAAAAGTATCGATACTTAAAAAAGTATAGATACTAAAACATCGTATCCGGATACAATACTCATTTTCTAAAGTATCGATACCCCCCCTCTGCACCCCTTCTCTCTGATTTATTTATTTACGTTGTTTATGATCATTAACCTGTCGGTAGCCTTGAATTGCTAGCTGCGGCTAACGGCTAATAATAACACGCCAACATTAATTAAGTCTGCAGGAAGCCAAGGATGGATATCCAACTCCCCCACATCCAAGTCGGCCATTTTGATCAGGTCACCAATAGGAAGATCCCAGGCAAGAAAATCCTAATTGCTTCATGGCATTATAGACATTAATTTAAAAATAGTGAAATGAATTTTGCATACACTGAATTAAACTCTATCCATAATATTATGTTAAAGTAGTGGATGTTAAATAGGTTTGTACAATAAGTCCAAACAAGTTTAACCAAAAAATATTTATTTCTCACAATTATGAAGGGTGGAGGGTTAGGGTTAGGGTCATTAATGTGGGGCCCTGGAGGGTCTTTAAGGGAGAGGGGTGTCTGGGTTTGATGCTGGATGAAAATCTGGGAGGAAATCCGGCTGAATATTCACATTCGACAGTAAAATTCTGACTCGAGCTGTTTCCAAAAAGGTGCTTGCCAAATCCGGGCTTTTTCAGAGTGCTGGAGCCCGGTGGCCCCTCCACAACTGCGAATCCACCATTGGCTCTCCATTCGCTCGGCAGTATTAATGCATGCTTCCCCATGTGTCCCGTGCAGAGATGTAGAAAGTACTGGAGTAGAAGTACAAGTACTATATAAAAAAATTATTTGAGTAAAATTAGAAGTATTATTTCAACACCATACTTAAGTGGAAATACAGAAGTACTCCATTTTTTTTGTACTTAAGTATTACAAGTAGAAGTATTTAAAAAATTGCTACTCAAGTATCGAAAGTAAAAGTATAAGTAAAAGTACTCCAGTCAAAAGTGTGATAGATATTGTTTATATTATTTCAAACGTGTGAAAGGCCATACAGGTGTTTACAAAAAACAGAAAACTACATCTGCATTAGCATCAACAGCACTTCATCTACTATTATTTATTATTCCAGAGTCAGAATCCTGAGCTGAGCCTTTATACTAGCATGTAGCATACAGCTAGCCAGCTAGGTTAGCTTTAGCTAACGTTATCATACAGCTAGCCAGCTAGGTTAGCTTTAGCTAACGTTATCATAGAGCTAGCCAGCTAGGTTAGCTTTAGCTAACATTAGCTGCTACGTCCTGAGTGAACAGGGAGAACTGAACTAGCGCTTATTTACTAGCTTATATGTCATTGTATTTTTTAACTCACCTTGATATGCTTCTTCAGATTAGATTGGAAATTTTTAGGCCATGATATCTCAATCTTACGGGAGGCTTTTTTTTTTAATAGGCTATCGTCCAATGAGGAGCCAGCCTCCCAAACCCTGACAGAGCTATCTATCATTACGTTTACATATCAGTAACGAGTAACAATTCAGCCTGTGAAAAATCGATCAGAGTAAAAGTATTAAATGACTCAAAAATATGTAGTGGACTAAAAGTAAAAGTAGTGAGAAAAAATATATCCTCCAATAAAGTACAGATACTGCATTTTGGTACTTAAGTACAGTACTTAAGTGGTTCTACTTCGTTACTGAACATCTCTGGTCCCGTGGCCCTCTGGAGCTCCTCCGGCTGGGAAAGGGCTCCTTATAATCCCACTTTCCACGTTTTCTGGGCGTTTCTGGGTCGGTGTTCTGCACGCTGCAGGCTGTTTGGACTCGTGAGTGTGTGTGAGTGTGTGTGTGTGTGTGTGGCTTCCCTCTGTCTGTCGGCTGTGTGTGAGGACGGGTTCCCGGATCCCTCAGAGCTCTCTGAGGGGAAAAACGTGCAGGTCGGTGTCGTTAAAAGATCAGTGCCAAACGGCTCCAGTTCAGTCCGGCCCTCCTGGAAACCTCTCGTCTCCAACGGGAGGTTTCTACGGAGCCCCTCTGATGACATGGTCAAAAAAAATTTTTAATTGTGGCCACGAAGTAGTATTTCGTGCGCACGAAATACTACTTGGAAATACCATTGAAAGGGACAGTTTAATAGAATTTTATTTTAGGCTGGGAATGAGCTACAAAGACATTCTGAAAGACATTTAAACAGGATATTGAGAGCCGGGTTAGTTTACCGGCGAAGCTACGACTTGGACGCCGGGATAAGTTTCATTGTTGACCGACTGCAAGGCCCTGGGAGTGACCACGGTTACCGGTGGATGTTTCCAAAGTGTAAACAACACTACGGAGCCCCTCTGACGATTTGGTCCAGGAATGATATTAATATTATTAATTAGTATTTCGTGCGCACGTTATACTTATTGCGTGGCCACGAAGTAGTATTTTGTGGCCACAATTATTATTTTATTTTTTTACCGTGTCATAAGAGGGGTTCCCTTTTAAAAAAAAAAACAAAAAAAAAAACGAGCGGATATCTCTGAGTTTTTGGCGGTCGGGACTGGAGCTCGTTTGGCACCGATCCCCCCCCCCTGGGAACTAAAGTAGACCTCTATATTTTTGCAGCCAAGCCCGGCAGAACGCGCAGCTCAGCGAGGCCTCGCACCCCTGCATCCCCCGGGAGTTCCAGCTGGACCTGGACATGATCGAGCGGGACCAGAGCCGCGTCTCGGAGCTGCCGGACCTGGTCCAGCACAAGCTGGACGAGCTGCTGGAGCCCATCATGATCCCCGAGCCCAAGTGAGGAAACCCCGTCCTGGTCCTGGGTCTAGTTCTGGTCCTTGTCCTTGTCCTGGTTCTGGTGCTGGTCCTGGTTCTGGTTCTGTTCCTGGTCTCAGAGCCCTGGTCCTGGTCCTTGTTCTGGCCTTGGTTTTGGTTCTGGTCCTGGCCCTGGTCTTGGGTCCTGGTCCTGGTTATGGTTCTGGCCCCGGTCCTGGTCCCGGTTCCGGCCCTGGTCCAGGTTCTGGTTCTGGTCCTGGTCTCAGAGCCCTAGTCCTGGTCCTGGTTCTGGTCCTGGTCCTGGTCCCGGTTATTGTTCTGGTTCTGGTCCTGGTCTCAGAGCCCTGGTCCTGGTCTCAGAGCCCTGGTCCTGGTCCTAGTCCTGGTCCTGGTTCTGGTCCTCGTCCCGGTCCTGGTTCTTGCCCAGGTTCAGGTCCTGGTCCTGGTCCTGGTTCTGGTCCTGGTGTCAGAGCCCTAAACCTAACCCTAACCCCTGACCCAGTCCTGGTCCTTTCTCTTGCCCTGGCCCTGGCCCAGGTCCATGTCCTGGTTCTTGTTCTGGTCCTCGTCCTGGTCCTGGTTCAGGTTCTGGTCCTGGTTCTGGCCCTGGTTCTGGTCCTGGCCCTAGTTTTGGTTCTGGTTTTGGTTCTGGTTCTGGCTCTGGTCCTGGCCCCGGCCCCGGCCCCGGTCCAGGTCCCGGTTCTGGTTATGGCCTGGTCCAGGTCTCAGAGCCCTGGTCCTGGTCCCGGTCCTGGTTCTTGTTCTGGTCCTGGTCCTGGTCCTGGTCCTGGTCCTGACCCCCCTGTTCTGTGTCTCCAGGATGCGTTCCATTTCTCCGCACTTTGACGACCTCCACAACAGCACCGCCTCCACCATCAACTTCGTCATCTCCCAGGTGGCCAGCGGCGACATCAACACCAGCGTCCAGGCGCTGGCCCAGGTAGGTCCAGGCCCGGTTCTGGTTCTGGTTCTGACCCGGTTCTGGTTCTG